GCCTAATTTATTACTGCCCTTATCGAGTTCCATCAGTAAATCTCCACACTTGGTCACTCCCAACATTCCCCACTTTTTTTTTTTAATTAGGGAAATGTTAAAATAGACTCAGTGTTCTTCCTCAGTAGGAAACGTTTGGGCCTTGACCCGGGCCTTCGGGAGCACCTGAAAGAAGAATTTTACCAGCTGGAGGCCTGAGGGATCTGGCTTCCAGCCCCTACACCCCTGGGCACACCCATCTGCCAGTGGGGATTAACACAGGCAGAGACATCAGTGAGTTGCCAAGAGCCCCTACCTTGAGCTCCGTAGAAGGTCAGAGCTGGGAAGACACAGAGGGGAGTGGACTGGCCAGTGACACATAATGACCTGGGAACAGAGCTGGGAACAGAAGCCTCTCTACTGGGCCCCAGCCAGGACACTGTTTATTTAATAAGCACCTGTGTGCCACTTGCTATAAGCCAGACAATTTCCTAAGTGTTCTGCACTGTTAACTCTCTTGATCCTGAGGTCCTGCAAATAAGTACTAAGATGATCCCGGTTTTAGTGGAGAGCAGTGAAGCCCAGAGGGGTTAAGTCACAGAAGTGGCTGAGCTGGGTCAAACCCAGGCCAGCTAGCTCAGCCTTGCTGCTTTTAACTGGAGGCAGAAGCCCCTGTTTCCAGCCTCTGGAAGGTAATGTAGGCGTAGGGTATTCTGAGCAGTTTTATTTTTGTATTTTATGCTATAACATTTCCATTTCTGGTTAATAAAATTCATGTCTTTTACCTAAGAAAATTGTATTGTACTGACAGCTAAATATTTTGTCACTCAAATGACATAACTGTAGGAATTTCATAAAAGGTGGTTTCATAAATACTAACCTTCAAAGCTCTCTGGTTCATCAGAAAAAGAACCATGAAATTGCAAAAGCCCTCTCTTTTTTCAAAAAATCTCACAGAGAATTAAATTACTACCAATTTGGGGGCAGGCAGAGATAAAGAAAAACTGTAATTCTATGTGAACAGAAGCACAGGCCACCTTGGTAAACTACTGATAGGCCCGATGCAGTTAAACCAGTTTCTAGATAAAGGGTTTGCCTGAAGGTTCTGATGACTGATCCTACAATTTGAAAATCTTTTCAATGCAATACAAAACAAAATCAAAATTCCCTTCTTTAAATGAAGCATTCCTGAGCATTCCAGCCAAGGGGGCAGGACTCCCCCCAGATTCTTTGTCTTCAAGAAGACAAAGGTCAGCAGCACAACCCCTCCGCATCTGCATCCTGCATCTACATCCCCGTGTTCGGTTGTCTGCACGACCTCTGTGAACTTCTCACCTGCTCCTGCTCTCTCGCCTTGTTACGGTGTTGGATGCTTTCTGGTGAGATCTGGTTTTGAGCTCCTTCAGGTAACTTGTGCAACTGATAAACATAATCTTCCTGGCCTAGAGAGCTAACAAATTTCATTTCTACCTTTTCCAGAAAAAAGGTTACATGTTCCCCTGTAAATGAGCAGGGGAAGGTCTGATCTACCCTGGGAATGAAGGAAATGCGCAGGAGGGTGATGGAAGATGAGGATAGAAAAACTGGAAAGGAGGTACCACAAACTCATACAGTGCCCAGAGCTGGAGGTGGAGTAGAAAGGACTAACATAGGCACTGACCCAAGACTCTCAGGCTCCAATGCCTAATTACAAAGCACAAGACCCAAGCAGGTATCAGACTGCTGCGGGGAGTATGAGGAAAGCAGACCTGAAGGTGAAGATATGGAGATTGAAGGCCCCTCTTAAATTCTACATAGTTAATCAACATCAACAACAAACAAACCACTCTACAAAGACTGAGCCCCTCCCGAAGAGAAGACTTTATCAGCAAGGTCTCCAGCACTGGCCCGGGGCAGCAGTCCTGCCCACCTGTGGCTATGCAGGTGTTTCTTTCTGCCCACTCTGTCCCTCCACAGGGCAGCAGCCTCCTGCCTGCCTATCACCTGTACCTGCCAGGGCTTCTCTTCACTTACCTCCCTCAGCAGAGCCAGTGAATCCTAAGGCAAGTTAGGGATAATTGCACAGCTTCAGGGACTTCAGAAGAGCTAAGGAAGGCTCCAGAGATAAGGGCAACAAGTTCCGATGGGTACTAATCAACCACCCCAGGATTAGGGACAACAGAACCTTCTGGAACAAGGACAAATAAAGAAAAAGGACTCTAAGGGCTGGGACACAGAGACTTAGTTGAGGGCACAGAGACATTAGGGCAGTGAGTGAGACCACTGAGATCTAACCAAGCCCAGAGACACTGGTAGGCTTTAGAATCGTGAGAGAAGAAGGTGCATATTCCCTGAGGCAGCCCTCCACTTAGGCCCTCTTGTCCTTTCCTGGCCTGGTTCCAATGACCTAGGAACCCCACTTTATTTCTGTTCCTTTTCTCCTCAGTAAACTTCTTTCTTTAAGCAAATCTGCCTCTTCTCACTTGCTGGCCTGAGCGTCTGCAAAGTTCCTGGTGCAGCTTAATGAGACACCACCATGGTGGTCTAGTGGCCGGGGTCAGTGCTGCCCCTGCAGCCTGGATCCCTTCTTGGCTGGGAGACGAGGCCTGAGAGCCTGACATTTCGGTATCAATTAGCAGGAAAACCTCAAATGCAATCAGCCCGCAGGGGTCTATTGAGCAAGAAAGTAAGACAGTAGGACAGGGAATGGCTGGGAGACTACTATGGCACTTTGCAGTCAAGGTTAAGGAGGAAGTACACCTCAAAAAAGGGTGGGTGATGATATCTCAGAAGAAAGGAAACACGGTGCACATTCAGCTCTCTCAGAAAGGAGTGTTCTGGAACCTGGCTGGACCTGAGACATGAATCCAGGAGCACCAACAGCACCTTCAGCTCTAAGACAAGCCACACAGAAGGCAGAAACAGAGAACTCACCATTGTCAGGTCTCGCCTTACCTAGATCTGCCATCCACTGGGCCAGCATGTGGACGAACGTGGCCAGCACGTTGCCCCCATTGAGGGACGCTGCCACGGCTAGGTAGGTCCTGTCGAAGTACGGGAAGTAGGCAACCGGAGCAGCAGGGTCTGGAGTCTGCAGAGGCTGAAATCCCACAGGCATGGAGGCTGCCAACTGAACCGAGGTGCTGATGTTGAGAACTGGGGTCCCAGCAAAGCAGAGGTTAATTAGGCCCGGTGGGCTAACTCGGAGGTCACAGCCATATCAGGGTGGGGAGAGCATGCTGGTTTAAAGATCTGCCCGGAAAGTCTTTGATACCCTCCTTTCGAGAAGTAGGGCCAAAGGCCTCCTCCCCTGTGCAGACCAGACTCAGTAACTTGTTTCTAATGAAAAGAAGGAAGCAAAAGTGACAGTGTGTGTCTTTGGAAACCATGTCAGGAAACTCTTGGCAGTTTTTTGTGCCCACACCCCACCCAGGCCTGATCAAGCCTTCAGACTGATGGGGGTTGGAATAGGCAATTTGGAAAGGAGGCATCATGAGACCAGAAATCTGGCTCACACCAGGCCAGGAGCAGGAGGTGGGAGGTAGAAGTGGTTAGACCTGCTTAGAAATGAAAAATCCCTAGTGCCAACTGCCATAGCAAGTCTCAGACTGCTGGAGGGCTATCACGAAGCGCAGACCAGATGGGATATGGAGATAGAGCGCCTTTGTAGAGAATCACTGGTCCTTACAGATCAACCCGGTCCCACCCTAAAATTAGGTTAGCACAAGTTAGCAATTCCACAAAGGAATGAGCCCCTCCCAAGGAGAAACAGACTGTCTCGATGCTACTTCTGCACTGGCCAGGGCAGGCTCACTGCCAGCCTCTACCTGCACTGTCTGCCACCTGAAGCCTTTCACTACTACCATAACTGACACTGGTGGTCGCCAGGGAGCTTCCAGTTTCCCTGCCCCAAACAAGACAGCTGGAGATGAGCAGGGAGGAGAAGCTGGAGAGGAGACTAGAAGAAAGGAAGGAAGAAGGACAGAGAGCAAGAAGACCTGGAGGAGACATGTGGAGCAGAGAGACAGGTGAAGAAGGGACACTTGCTTTTCGGCCTTGGATGGTACCAGGGACTTGGGGACAAGGAAGGAGACACTTGGAACAGACATGGTGTGAAACCCTTAGGGAAGTTAACAATAACAGCTTTTGTTTGATTTTAAGTTTGTTCTTTTCTTCCCAGACTTGCCTGGCCCCTTCTGCCCCATTCCTGTGGGTCCCCACCAGGAGCTAGCTGCCTTAGACATGGGGCAAGTTTTCGGGTCTCAGTGGCCCTGCTTTGAGCCACCCCTGTTTGGCTGGACATTCATCCATGAGGGGATGGGTAACTGGATGTTTGATTTGTAAATTATTTTGCCTATTCTTTCCCTTCTCTTCCCTTTCTTGAATACTAACTGTGTTAACATTCCTCTCTACTACAGGTCTTATGCACTAGAGTATATTTGGCTTGATGCAATGGATGGTAGAATCTATCCAGAGCAGGCAGGTTTGGGGTTCTGAGGTATCTCTCACCCAGCCTAGTAACGTAACCTAGTGATTTGCCCTCCACCTGTCCCCTTGGGTGAAGATCCCAGTGATGGGACACAGCACAGACCAGCAGTCCCATCTAGAGAATACAACCAGCTCAGTGAACGGGAAGCCCAAACCTGACCTTCTTGATCTGCATCCTAGACCCTCGTTCACCATTTTGAAAGCACATTTACAACCAGACATAGGGCCTAAAATTTGAAAAGCATCGGCAGGGGTGAAAGCCAGGCTCTTTATAGGCACTACCCCAAGCCATCATCACATGTGCAAGGAATTGTCAGCATCCCTATTTGGCATGATGACAAGAGCTCAGGGGGGAAGGAGTCTGCCTGAGACCATACCTGATGAAGTAAAGGGCCTGTGGCTGGACTCTGAGTCCCAGGGGAGTCCTGACATTCATGCTTTGACATGAATGGTACAAGGCAAGGCATTGGAACTGGGGAAATGAAGTCGCCAAATAAACCTAGCATATTTGCTGTGACATTGATTTTACATGAAATGTTGGGAGGAAGTGTTTTTTAATCTAAATTCTATGTGTGCAAACAAATCAGAAGCTCACCAACCTAAGCTGGCATTCTGCTCAGGTGAGCAGGCCCAGATCCCACCCCAGCCCAGGTCATAGCCAACCTGTGGCCCACAAGCTAAGAATGGCTTTGACGTAAATTTTTTAATAGCTTACTGAGATATATATAATTCATATAAATTCACCATAAAATTCCCCATTTAAAACTGGTATTGTTTTGTACCAGAGTCATACAGCCATCACCACGATCGAATGTTAGGACACTTTCATTACTCTGAAAAGAAATTGGTACCCATTAGTATCCACCCTCCACCCTCCTTTTCATCCCTCCCTGCAACCAATTAGCCCGCTTTCTATCTTTATGAATTTGCCTGTTATAAACCTTTCCCAGGAAGAGAATTGCACTTCTGTGGCCTTTTGTGATGCTCCTCTTTGGTTCTTCCGTGTTCACTCATGAGTGTGGCACTTTGTTCCTTATTAACATAGTTCTTAAATCTGTTCATCAGCTGGTGGGCATTTAGGTTGTTTCTATTTGGGGCGATTATGAGAAACACTGCCAGCAACATTTGTGGACAAGTTTTGTGTGGACATGTGTTTCCAGTTCTCTTGGGTAGATCCTAGGAGTAGGGTCACTGGGCCTATGGTAACCCCATGTTAGGTCTTCTGAGGAACTTCCAGAGTCTTTTGTAAAGGGGTTGCTTTACAATCCCAGTAGCATGTTCCTACATTTTCAAATGGTTGGAAAGAAAACTAAAGGAGAAGCTATTTCCCCAGAGGAAAATCCCATGCAGTTCACATTTTTGTGTTTGGAAATAAAGCTTCATTTGGAACACAGCAAGGCCCATTCGTTTATATACTGGCTCCAGATGCTTTCCATGCAGAAGTCATGACAAAAACTAGGAGGTCCACAAAGCTTGAATATTTGCTACCTGGCCCTTCACAGGAATGTCTGCCAAGCCCTGTAGAGGGCTGTTGCCTTCACCTCATGTGACTCCCTCAGAGCACAGCCGAGTCTGCACTTCAAATCAGGTCAGACTGACCTTTCATCCGCAAACACACAATCACAGAGGCCCTGATCTATGTATCTCTTTTCTTGGTGGTGGAGTTATACTAAACAGCCAATTAAAGAAGGGCAGTCCCTCATGATTCCAGAGAGGAAAGTGCAGCTGTGTGGTCAGGGACAGGCCTGCCTCACAGGACCAGAAACTCCCCAGGGAAGGGGGCTTTCCCTGTGGGGATAAGGGTGTTTTTCATAGTACAGAGGTTCGAACAATCAACAAGATGCTGAGGCTGCTAGTCTGGGCCCCTCAGACTCTCCCACAGAACTGGGCCTTAGGAGGCGCCTGTAGAAGTCAGAGAAAAGAACCAGAGAAACTTACCTGCATCTGTCCTCTGAGTCATGCAGGAGTAGACAGAGGCCTGCAAATCCCCCAAGGCCACGCCCACAGGTGTCCCCTTGGGGATCTCAAACCACCCTCGGGAAGTTCTGCCTGCCACACTGCCAGGCTCTGAGATGTCTGGGAGCAGATGGATTGGAAAGCCGGAGGCCCTCAGCCTGCAAGCCAAAAGTTGACAACGTGTTTGCTTGGTGCTCGCTTACCTGTTTCTGTGTTGTTTCCGGGAACTCAGCAAAAGAGAGTGCTACAGGACACATCCAAGAAGGGAAGGTGGAGTGCGGTGTTTTCACATATGGCTTCCCTGAATTCTTTGAAAACAGAAGTTTGGTTTTTTTTAAAGAGTGGGCACTGGCTTCCAAAGCTTGCAACTGGCCTTGGGGGGGGGGGGGGCGGAGCAGCAGCAGCAACTTGAGAAGGGGTGTCAGGAAGGATTAGATATCACAGACACAGTCTCTGATACTCTCCAAAGGGAGGCACTCAGAGTTTCAATGCCCCTGTGGTTAGCACAGACCAAACCAAGCCAAAGCCCTCAGTCTCTGGAACACCGGATGCATTCACCACTCAGAGCTTGTGAACACAGGCTGTCAATTTTATAAAGCATGCTAAAAAGTCCTTTACCTGAACTACCAGGTGAATTTTATTACAGAGCTCAGAATTTGGGCCCTGAGGAGGTGAACTTATAAGGCACTGGACTTCTGGACCTGCAAAGGCAAACGATGGTTCAAAAAGAACTTAAAAAGCATTTCTCAAGTCTACTACTTCCATTTATTAAGTTCATTTTAAAATACAGAGTGAAGGTACTCTTTGAAACCTATAGGCTGGGCCGGGGCACCAAGAAGTGGGGGTCCTACTCTAGCTCTGAGTGACTGTGGAGAAGTAGCAAGATAGCAAGGCATGGGGGTGGCACCCTTTATCAACAGCTTTCCTTAAAGCCAGGCCCGTCTATGCCTGGTGACTGGAGCAGGCTGTGGAGGGGAGGGCATTAGAACCTGATTTCTGACCTCTAAAATTCTCTCCCATTCCCAAATGGGGCAGCTCCATGGAAGCTCTCCCTCTAGAGTCTCTGCTGCTTCAGCCAGCTGCAGGGTTATACTCACATTTCCAAGTTCCAGCTTTGGCTCTGGGAGTTGAAATATCCCCAGCTGGCAGCATTCTGGTCGGACATCAAGGGTCTTGGCAAATCACACAGCATGGCAACCACATAGTCATGGATGGTACCAGCCGCGTCGTAGGACTCAAGGAACTCTGGGCTGTTTTCATACCAAAAACAATTCATGTGGCCTAACACTGGTTTAACAGAATGTGCTGCACTTAGGACAAGACCTGACATAGCTAGGTGACAGCCAGAACCCCACCTGCCTGGCTTCCCACAGCTGGACCTCGTAAGGTGAGAACCCGCCAGCCACTCTGAGCAAGGTAGCCATAGTAGGGGAGGCGTGATGGGACCATTCCTGGGAAAGCAGGACACTGGATGTTGTTAGCAGCCCTGACCTCACCATGAACTCACCAAGTCCCTGCCTTCTCCAGTCTCTCCCCCTCTGGGTTAGAAGCAGATAACCAACAAAGAGCCTCTGTGAAGTGAAGCTGTCTAGTCCATGGCTACTTGTGACTACACACTGGCCAGGCCACACTCTCTGAGGGTCAGTGGTGGAGCCGAGATGCTAGTGGTACAGCCCCACCCACCCTCATTCCCAGCACCCAAATCCAGCCCGGCACCCAACTGGAAGAACAGCTGTCCATACCTATTTTTCAAAAGCCAGAAGACAGTTGCACAGCCAAACCCTGTGGCCACACTGAGGTGGGACTCTGGCCGGGGCAGAGAGGCCAGGAACCCGCGGCTACAGCGGCCGTCTTGCCACGTGACCAGGTGGCTCACAGCTCGGGGCTCAAACACAGGGGCGGCCCCGCCCTCTGTCCATTTGCAACCTGGAACAAATGAGATAACCCAAAACATAGGAAGGGACAAGTGACCAGACAAGTCCTTGAGACTACTCTGCCAGTGAGGTGACCGCACAGGCGTCATGACCACGGTGTAGCTTCATGCATACACACAGGTTCTGCCATGAGAGCATCTGGGTCAGGGCCTGGTCCCAGCGCCAATCCTGGGGCGAGTCACTAGCCCTCTCCATGTCTTCTGTTTCTTTTTAAAGCCAATATATCTCCCCCACCCCAGCCCATAGGTAACTTTGGCATGATCTCAGCTCCCCTGAGCTCTAGCCTTCCAAATCTATCATGTTGACATTACTAGCCTTGATTCCGGATGATTCTGAATATGTTTCCTCTTTCCCTTTTGCCTTCACTAATTCATAGAACTCTGCTAAGGAATCTGGCCATCTTGCTTCATTAACTCTTGAAACATCTCCTGGTGGTTGTTTTTTTCTGCTCTTACTTAAAGATTTCACCCAAGATTGTTTCCAGTGTAGGTCATTTATGCATCTCAAGGCCTCAGAATATTTCTTCCTGTCCTTGTACTTGAATAACAGTCTGATCAGGTATCCTATTCTAGATTATATATTCCTTTTCTTCAATACATAAAAACACTCTTTGTAGATGTAGGATAGATTGCTGCAAAGTCCTTGCTACTCCTCACCTTAAGAGATAGTGCCCACAGCTATATTTAAAAAAAGAAAAAAAATGAAATCCTGCCATTTGTGGCAACATGAATGGAATAGGGTGGGATCACAAAGGAGAAAGACAAGTGCCTGATTAGTTTACTTGTTGGTTCGCAGAATATAAAGAAACCTTGCAAAGCCACTGACCAAAACAAGCTCCTGGAATCCAACTGTAGAACTGAGTTTTGGGGGTGGGAGAGGGAGTAGGATGGAGAAAGTCCAGTGCACAGAACAGAGGATCATTGGTATATGGGTAATGGGCATGGTGTGCTGGCATCATTTGAAGAGTCTCAAATCTGTACTCCTAAAATGCATATTATTGCCTCCTGCACGAACCTGTTCAAGGTACTTTACCTCAGAACACTGCGGAGCAGGAGCGCTGCTGAGTCTCAGCAGTTACCTTATTTAATAGGCCTGCCAAATTGCTGTCCAAGACATTATGCTAACTTACACCAGCAGGGGCATTCAATAGAACCAATTTTGCAGCCCCTAAGGCAATTCTTGGTGTGATCAAACTTTGATATTTCAGAATTCGGTGAGTAGGAAATGATGTTGTTGTGTTCACCTGCACTTTCCTAATTACAAACAACATGGAGCATCTTTTATATGTGTATTGGTCATTTGCATTTCCTCTTGTAGGAACCCTCTGCTGGTACCCTTTGCCCATTTTTCTAGGGTGCTCTTTGTCCTTTGTTATCAGTTCTTTCTATGTACCCATAGTCATTCTATGACTATTATTCATGGCAAATACCTTCTCTCCAGTCTGCTGCTTACCTGTTAGCTTTGTTTTATGATTCCCACTCACCTGCTAATCTGGGCCTGAAAATGGAGCTTGAGGGCAGGCATAACCACAGGCCTCTTAGAAGGCACTAAGTCACTCCTTCCCCTCTCCTCCAGCTGGCTTGCCTGTGCCCCCAAGAAGCACTTAGCTCTCTGCTCAGGTTATGGTGCGGTTCTGTTGACCTCACCCACTGTGCCCCGGGAGGCGGGGGTTTGGCCTGCTTGTTTCTATGTCTCCCAGGGGGCCCACCATAGTCTTACATATTGTATGTACTGAAACCAAACTACATTAAGACAGTCATAAAAACCAGAACAACCAGGTCCCAAATGTGACTTTACTCGGCTCTGCTAAGCAGGCATCATCATCATCATCAAACAGTGGCTTTCTTCTTTCCCAGAAACAAAAAACAAAACAAGAAGACAGGCGGGCTGGCTCGATGAAATATTAAGCAGCTCCCTCCAGTGATGTGGGTGATGGTTTGTGTGGTTGTTAGAGTCAGGAGACAGGCAGATAGGCAGGCGAGCAACCAGACCACAATCATTAGCTCTCTGTCGTCCTCTTTGGGAAGGGTTTTAGTATTAAAAGGACATTTATTCTCATTAATGCAAAATTAAGGAGTTTAAAAAGCTTTTACAACCTAGAAGCCCTCTGAGAGGTCAGCCTAACACCCTAATCGGCCTTCTGCTCTTGCTACTGCTGGAGCCAGGCAGCTCCTGGGAGCCCAGATGTTCAGGGAGCCTCTACAGTTATCAAGGCCCCACCTTGGGACTGAGGAAAGCGGGCCTTGGTCACCCTGTGAGGCCAGTTACTGCCCATTTGGCTCAAGGAGGATTCAGAATCACTGACTCCCCAGGCAGAAAGGGGTCAATCTATTATCCAAATAATCTTAACCAGAAGCCCCCCAAAATAACCGTCCATCATCTGTTAAAACACCTGGAAGAAAACGCTAATATTGCTGAAGTTGGGTGGGTGTTGGCTCATAATGCTATTCTTTCTTTTTCTGCCCATATAGGATGTTTCTTAATTAGGAAAAAATTTTAATACTTGCTGTATGGGGAGCTCCCCACTTCCTTTAGGAGCCTAATCCTAACTTGAACATGCTGTTGGGAAGCTCCTCTCTGCAGGGATCCACTGTGTCTTCCTGGAGCTCTGGGCCACCCAGAAGTCTTGGAAAGAAGTGTCTAAAGGCAGACAGACCTGGGCTCAAAGCTGGCATCACCACTGCTGCTATATGACCCTGAGCATATTATGCTAATGCCTTTGAACCTCAACTTCTCATCTGCACAATGGGGACAGCAGTATAACCTACATCAACAGGTTGTTGGGGAAACCCAACACTCTTTACCCAGTACCCTACATGCAAAGTGTTCAGTGATGTTTTGTTGGTTCAATTCTCCACCCAGAGACCAAAGAGAACAAGTCGCCTGTCTCTACACTGGCCAACTCTCTGATAGATGACCAACTGCATGAACCTCAATAACTGAGCCCCTCAACAAGACACACTTTAGGATTTAAAAATCACAAATATCTGTGGTTATACTGAATAACAAAAATCTGCCCAAATTCAAGAGTTTCTTATGTTCTGGCATCTGCTACAGCCACGCTGATCTCTTACTTGTCAGCACTGATGTTCTGAGACACCGATACAAACAAAAGGAGTTGTGGGGAAGACGGGCCCCTGACTCCCGCATGGAATCAGAGTTCATGCTTTTCCCTCTCCCTAGTCATGGAAAACTTGTGAGTAAATAGCTCACATATGTGTTGCACACTTGCACGAGACAGGATGACACCAACTATACATGGACTCTCTTGTTCACCACAGAGGGTAACTTATCCGAGAGAAGCCCCACAGACTAGTGTGTTTGCCAGTATCGTCAACAGCATGCAATCCTCCCGCAGCCCGCATACCTTGGCCTGTTTTCCAAAACATGATTCCATGCATCTGGCCTGACACTCCAATGCCACAGACTCTCCGGAGCTCCTGCCGGGGAAGGGCAGCCAGGCACTCGTGCAGGGCTTGGATGATTTTACTCACATCCTGCTCCTGCCCCTGGAAGCAGAGCAGGACAAGTAGGTAAGGGACATCTAGACAGGCAGTGATGGGAGGAGGCAGACCCCACCAGGGATTTTCCTGGCTAGTGGGTACCCAGCTAATTCATGCCCAGAACCTGCAGACCTGCCTCAGGGGTGGGACTGAGGGTTCCTTGCTCACTTGAGTGGCCCTGGAATACAAATGTGGTAGTAGGTTCCCTCCATCCCTTCTCAGAGGAGGTGATGCTGCAGATAGATAAGGTTTACTCTCTGCCCCCCACTGTGGGGAGTCATAACTGAGAACAGTACTGCCCTTGGTCCCCAGGAACTTATAGTCTAACAAGCTACGAGGAAAAACACAGGAAGGATCTTTCACGAGGCAACATGATGGGAGAAAGAGGATGGCACACAGCAAGAGGCATTGGCAGGAAAGGTTGGCCAAGAAAGGCCTCATGGGAGGCCCTCCCTGAGGGGAGGCGCAGCGGGTTGGAGTGCTGCACTGCGAAGCTAAGCCAAGCCATGGCCACTTCAGCGTGAGCTAGATCCCACCCCAGAGCTGACCCACATTGCTGGCAGACCTCTCCTCTCTCGCCCGCTGCTCCCCTCAACAGTGTACTCAATCTGCCTGTTCTGCTCCCCACTCTGTTTCTGGTGAATCCTCTCACCACCTCTTCACCTTTAGCCTGTACCCCATTTCTGTATGCATAAATAAATAAATCTTTAAGAAAGGAAAGAAAGAAAGGCCTCATGGACTAAAGCACTTCAGGACTTTAGTCCTGGACTAAAGGTGGGCCTCAAGGCCCAGGTGAGGGTCTCTTCCTAAAGGTAATGGGCTCACCAGAGCTGTTTCTAGAAGAGGAATTGGACAATGGCACAAGCTACACAAAGTGATATAATGGAAAGATTTTTCTGGAGGTAGAAACCAGTCAAGGAAGTCAGGACTGTCTCTTCCTGTTTTGACTTCCAGTCTCCTTCAAAATGTCTCTAGGAGAATAACTCTGAATGACAATGTCATGAGGCAGGTAAGTTGAATGTAATCAAAGAATATATCAATATGAGTCCTGAGAGACAGAATATGAGGGCCTCCCTGGTGGTGCAAGGGGTTAAGTCTCAGCACTGTGCAGCTATCCAAAGCTGCTGCCAGGGAGCCAACCGAAACAGACCTCTCCTGACCTGCCCGCTGTTTCCCCTCAACAGTGTAAATCAGTTAATCCACCTGTTCTGCTCCCCACTCTGTCTCTGGTGAATCTTCTCACCCACCCACTCATCCCCCTGTACCTCTGGCCTGCACCCCAGCCCTTGTATGTATAAATAAATAAAATAAGTCTTTTAAAAAAGAAAAGACTATGAAAAGAATGCAGGTTTGGAAAAAGTTCAAAAGTTTTCCAAATCAGTGGAGAAAATACATTTAGTTATGTTAGAGCTAAAGAGATACAGACTAATATAATTTCAAAAGTTGGCAAGATGGGACTCAAAAATAAGAAATTTGGGTTCTGTGACCACCTCTAACTTTACATTATGAATTTCCTGCTAGAGACTAGAAACAGCACTCGAGGATCCCCTCCCATCCCGTAATAAGTCTTAATGAGTTAAGGATTATTTTTTTCTTTCTCAAATATGTGTTTTGAAAGCAAGCCATGTGATACCATTATTTTCTTTGTGGATAAGTAAATTTTGAAGTGGAAAGATGAATTCAATAGATGGACCTTTAAAAGAAGCATAACTGTGATTAATATTTGTGCTTACAGACTCTGGATATTTGGTATTTTAAGTGCTTATATAGTTTAAGAGAATTTGAGCTAGGTTATTTTGTAATTCCAATGTAGCCTCCTAATTCCAATGTAAAATGTGAAACTGAGTAACTGATCTACACTTGCGATTATAAATTCAAATCTTATATTTGTGAAAGGATTTGAAACATAAGAATACTTAAAGAAACATATAATACTTATACAGTTATATATTTAATTTTTAAGGATTATTTCAATATTCTGAATACACATTAGAAAGACAATTCTAAAAAGTCTTAGATAGGTAACATTTAAATACCTAAACAAAAAAATATAAACAAGAAAATATATTAAATGTATAACTGCTGATAAAATGTCTACATTATTTAATTAACTAAGATAGGATTAAGTACTATTCAAAAGCCCTCAAAGATGATACTTAAGATGTCAGGCTTATGAGTGGAATAAGTTTTATTTATAAGTTAAATTTAAGGCTTTATTTAATAAGAACTATTTAAATTTAATAAATTGAACATCTATTTTGATCTCAGCCAAATTAAAGTGCTTGCACACAAAAACTATTTCAAGGCAGAAATAAAACTTACCTTCCACAACAAAATGTATCCATGAAGAATGTACAAGAAGAGAGAACTGGGGCCCAGCTCTTAATGAATGTCTTTCTTTGGGAAGCTAAAAAAGCTTATGGTCTTGGCAAAGCATCTGAAGGCTGAGCCCTCGGGCCCCTTGTTTGGGGAGTGGAGGGACAGGTTCCGGGGTAACGCACCCTCCCTGCCTTGGAACACACCCCTCACTTGCCTCTTATCTCCTGGCCTGGGTCAGGGCAATTCTTGATTCCTAACAAGCATGAACTAAAGAACAAGAAGAGAGTTGAAGAGAGAAGAAGGAGTAGAGAGGGCCTCAAAGCAATTTTCTGTGCAACAAGCAGGTTAGAAAAATCAGTTGAGACCTGCACACCCAATATGGTGTGCCTATGTGTTTCGTCTGAACTGAGATATGTTATAAAGTGTAAAATACATGCCGGATTTCAGGTTTAGTATTTCAGATTTAGTAGGATAAAAAGGAATGTACAATGTCTCCATTGCAATAATTTATAGTGATTATTAGACATTGAAATGATGATACATCAGAGACATTGGGTTAAATAAAATATGTAATTAAAGTTAATTTCCCCTGCTACTTTTTATGTTTCAATAATGCTACTAAAACTTTGAAATGATACCTGTGGCTCGCATTTCTACTGGACAGTGCTGCTTTAAAGAGTTCCCACTTGGCCAGCAGATGGTGCATCAATCCAGCACAGATGAGCTACTGTTTAAAATGGACCCAGGGTGGGTGAGATATGGGGGGCTTGGGGGAGGCGGGATGAAGGAGGGAAATGGGCAGATGAGAATGAAGACAGTAGGCAGTCAGTATTCGGTAGTTAGTTAAACTTTTCGTGGTGAGTGTGATCAGGGAGTAGCTTCTGGACAGCCCACAGGTGTACCCACAGAGTAATAAGGTGCTACCTCTACTTTCCTTCATTATGTCAACTAGGCTACATCCAGATCAAATCCTAGGACTTTAGATTTGAAAACAGCACTTAGAAACTCCTGCATCCCTCCTCCCACCCCATAACCCCTTTCACAGATGAGTGAGGTCCAAAACAAGAAAAATTAATAATCAGAAAGGACCACAGAACTTCCCTCTAAACCCTTGGTTTTAAAATCCTATATAAAGGTGCAAGTCCCTTCTTCATAGCTGCCAAGATAGACCTTGGTGTATACAATCCTGGTAAAGAGTGAGAAGTCTGGACATGAGGGAGTCACAAAACCATCAGGAGTTTCTATGTCAGTGGTTCTCACTCTGTGGTTGACTTTTGCCCCCTAAGGCTTATTGGCAATATGGAGACATTCTGTGGTCTCACACTGGGAAAGAGGGTTTTACAGGTCTGTAGTAGATTCAAGGCCAAGGGCCCTGCGCAGGGCAGTTCCCCAGAACAAATCATCATCAGACCCAAAGACATAAACAGATTCAAGTCTGAGGAATCCTGCTGTAGACGAAATTACAGCAATGTTGTGAGCACAGCACACATGTGGAGTGTGCAAAGAGGTCTATTTCTTGCCTCCCCTCAGCCCCTCATTAGGTCGGTGTGGGTGCCTGTAACACACAGTGTACAGCTGAATATTGGGGGAAGTGGGGAAACTGGTTTTCAAGAAGTGGCCCTATTTCAAGAATAAAGGGCACACCCTAAACCCAACCGCTGTAATCTGGTTCTGCTGCTCACCCTACAGGTTCAGAGCCTCGTTTCATAGGTAAGGAACTGAAATAATCACTCTAAAATACCCCAGCGCCCCAGCCAAAATAACTTTGAAAGTTTTATGAGAATGCAAAGTGCTCCTGCACTCTTTATGGCCTGAACAAGACGGACTCTGAACCCTAAAGAAATGAGTCCAGATATGTGGCAAGACCTGGTGAAAAACAAAGCTCTTGGAAAGTGGGTCTTAGCTCAGGAAAAATCAAGGTTTATGACTAGGAGGGGCCTTAAAGTTCACCTATTTCATCTCTGAAAACACACTGAAATCCAGAAACAAGTCATGAGGTTACAGAGATCCTTGATGTTTCTCTTGTCAAGTCACTGAACATAGAGCTACCTTTTTCAGAAAGTTAATGGACTCCGGATAGCTATTTCCCACTACTGGTGAAATCCTCCATTTCTAGCTCACAGGATTCACAAGATACTACTTAGTCATCAGTCTCTCTTTCTAACAGTTTAATTAACTTATCCCTCAATGTCTAACAGTCCTGATGTCTTTCCTTTAAGGTTTCTTAGCCTTTGGGACTAGGGAGCATTTGTTGATCGAGTTTTTGAGAACCTCATCCTGCGCCTGTGGCATGAGAGAGGAGCCAGGCAGGCCTGATTCTGCGTCTAATTTCCAGGGAAAGCCCTGACCTGCTCTGGGAAGGAACAGGATTCTAAGCTTGAGGATCAAGGCCTTGAGGAGCAGAGGGCAGTGAAAGTGAATGGGAGGCCTGAGGCCATTGCAGGTACGTGAGAGCAACTCCCGGATCAGGGTGCAGAAGGTGGAGGACACAGAACACAGGGATACACTGTCATGGGCAAGGGTCCCAGAAGAGGCCGGAGAGTGGGAGGTCGGTGCGAGAAGATGGGAAAGCTCCTGTGGCAAAGCCTTACAGGTCGGGGATGCTGCAGCAGGCAGGCAGGAATCAGGCGGGCTGGAGCAGTGAGGGAGACTTCTCTAAGGAGAAGAGGGAACTCGCGAGGCTCCCAGAGGCTGCGCGGCCCCAGGGCGTCGCCTCACCTGGGGCACGGCCGCTGCGCTCCGGGGGGCCGTCTCGGCCCGCGCAGCCCTGGCACAGCTCGCCAGGACCACAAACCCGGACGAGTCTCCGGGCGCGGCCTCCACCAGGGCTGTCTTCACAGACGTGGTGCCCAGGTCGATGCCGAGAGTGACAGCTCGCTCAGCCATGCCTCCACACCACCGCGGCGCGCACCCGCCGCCGAGATGCCCCTTCCCCCACACTTTCCCGGGACAGAGGCGGGACCTCGCCGGCCACTCCTGCAGCCTCACTCAGCATGGCGGCTCCATGTCATCCATTGGTCAAGAAAGGCGGAGCCGGACGGCCTCGGGGCGGCGCGTCCCGGGTAGAGGCGAAAGGTGGAGGAAGGCGGGCGCTGGAGACCCCGCCCCGTAAGGCGGGGGTGCGGGAGCCGTGGGGCGCCGTCTGCGCCTGGCTCAACGAAGTAGCTCTGGGGTTCGCAACAAGCGCGGGGGCTCCAGAGCTTCTGTCCTTAAAAGTGGTTTGATCGTCCGTTACACCTGAACCCCCTTAGCTGCCAAGGGGCCCGCGTCCCCCCGCCCCACCCCAATCCCGCCCTTTCGTACCGCCAGGGTGTAAGAAACTACAGCTCCCAGAGTGCCTTGCGCGAGCTCTGCACGCGGGGACGCGTGTGTTCGGGTCAGGTGACTTCTGCCCCGCCGTCACTGAAAGTCTTGTCTGTCTGGGGGAGCTGGGACAGTTCCAAGCTGCTCCTGCCGCCCGAGTGTTCGGTCCCCTGAGCCTGAGAGGATCCAGGTGAGAACTGGCACGACCCCAACAGCCTCCCTCCCGATTCCCCAGGCGAAACCGTCGGGCTTCAGAGACTGCACAGTAAGCCAGTCGGGCAGTCCCCGCGCACTCTCCCCCCTCAGGGGGTTCCATCCCCTGGCAGTTGTCCCGGCCTTGAGAAAAGGACAGTCCCCAGGTAGAAGGGGCTGACCTGAGGCCGAGGCCGAGGTGGAATGGGTGCAGGTCCGAGCCCCCCTCCCCGCCTTCTTCATAGTGGCCACTTGAGTCTGGGTGGCAGAGTTTGCAGGTTGCTTTGCAGGGGACCATTCCAGGAACCCCGGCTCTCTCGGGAAGAGTCAGGCTGGACTGGGGCGGAGCTCGTCCGGAGGAGACCCCGCCATCCTGGGTTTTCATTCTGGAGAAAAGGAGAGCAATTCGGCCTTGCCTTTTTCCATTTTCAGTTGAGGAAAATAACCTATGTTTTGTGAGAGCTTACTAGGTGTCTTTGGCAACAGTAGTAATTACCTTACCTCACTGTTTCTTAATCTTTTTTTTTTTCCTTAGTATCTCCCTACTACCACAAGAATTTTAGTACCTTTGATAAACCCTTTGGAAGACAAGAAACCTTGCTTTGCATTTCATCTCATTTAAATCCTATCAGGTAGTTCTTACTGTCCCTGTATTCACATTAAGAAATTGAAGCTTGAAGAGGTTAAGTAGCACCCAGTCACACAGCTAATAAACAAGGACCTCAGATTCAAACCTGTGCAATGTACCTCCAGGACACCCATTTTTTTGCCACTAACTGTATTACTCGTCCAAAGAGGGAACCCCAGGGAGTTACTCACAGGTGGTAGAAGAGCTCACAGAATGAACTCATACCTGATACAGAGGAGTTGCTTGGGAGACCCCTGACCCCAGGTTGCTCCTGGGAGGGAATTGGAAATGGGAAACTCCTTGAAGCAGGTGGCATCTGAGTAAATAACAGGAAGAAGACATGCCACACAGAGCCTGTTGTAGTGAATTCTCACTTTGTCATGTAGCTGTCACAGATACTAGTAGTAGTGTGTAATTATCAGTCTGATCCTTTTCTAACATTTTAATCACCTTATCTCTCAGTTTATTTCTAGCTGTCCTGATGTTCTTCCTCGCAGCTATCCCAGCCTTTGTGCTGGAGGGCTTCTGTTGATCAAGTGTTCAAGTTCCTCAGTCTACATTCCAATTCTCTGGAATGAGAGAGGAACCATTTAGGCCTGATTCTACATCTGATTTCTCCAGGAAAGCCCGGACTCTGCTGTGGGGAACAAACTGATTCCTGAACTTGAGGACACAGGCAGGTGTGAGGAGCAAACAGTGAAGAACCAGCGGGAAACCTGAGGTCACTGCATATACACAGAAGAGCAGTTCCCCGGAGTCAAGGTACAGAAGGTGGAGCACAGAGCACAGGGATACAGGTGGTCAAGCTTCCCAGAAAAGGCCAGAGTGTGGGGAGATGGGTGCCAGATAATGAGAAAGCTCCTGGAACAAGGCCTGATGGATCAGTGGGAATGCAGCAGAGACCCCCCCTGGAGAAGCTGGGCAAGGGGGTGGTGGGGGGAGGAGGGTAGAGGTAGAATTCAGGCAGGCTGGAGCAGTCAGGCAGAATTCTTTAGGGAGGGGACCCCAATTCCTTGAGGCCTTCTGAGAAAGTTAAAACCATAGTGGGAGCAGGGATTATTTCCACACAGACCTCTCCTAACTCCCCCACTGTTTGTAGGACTCCCCAGAGGCTGCCAGCAGTGGGAGGGCCTGCGTGCTGTGCTCTGAGGCAGCATCTGGGGAAATCCACACTGACCTGCTGCATCTTGACCCAAGCCGTGTGTTGGGCTTACGGGTTCGCAGCAGTCTGCCTCTCTCACCAAAGTCGTGAACTGCTCCAGGGTCCATCAGGCTTATTCCTCACTGGGTCCCCATTGCGAGTGGTCCCTGCCAGTCCTTTGACAGTCATGAAATAAGCCTCAGTCAAAGGTCAGTTGGTGGCATTATCCCTGAGTCATCCCAGGTCAGGAAATAAAATAAATTTCCTGAAGGTTGATAGGTTCATGAAGTTCATGGCACAGTTTTAATAACTCTGCAAACCAGAACCCCTAGTCCATAAAACTGTATTCATGCTTTCTGTTAACTAGGACTTAAGAGGCTATTGAAGAGGTAACAATTCAGTGTTTGTCCACTTCCTCAGAATGGGAGCTTGCACAACGCATTGGCCTCTCTGAGCCCGTTTCCCCGTAGAACAGACAGATAAGTGCTGCCTGGGGACCCCATCTCCAAGCTGATGATGCAGACCCTATGAGGTCACAGGTGTGCAGTGAAAGTCCTTTGTGAACTGCCTGGGCCATTGTCCTCTCAGAGCCGAGCTGATCCAACTTAACTTCAACTTCTCTTACTGCTTGTTTTTCTCCCTAGTTCTTTGAAATCGAGCAGCATGATAAGGAGTTGGCTGATTATTTTTATCCTTTTTCCCCTGAAGCTCATAGAGAAATGTGGTAAGTTTAGAAATGGGCCATCAACTTTATAGAGGGAAATGGTGCTTTAAATAGTCTGACCTTATCACCAAGGGTTAGGAACTGTCCAGAAGGCATGTACCTGCCTGCCCCTAGGCCAGTGGCCATGGTGGGGGGTGGGGGGGACATTCCAACATCTGGGGTCCCAATGTTTCCACAAACAGTTGGCTTGCTGCCCCAAGATCCCTATTAGCTGTTTTGTATTACTATCTTCCCTCCCATCTGTGGCGCTTCAACAATCTGGAGCAGTATCTATAAAGAAGGGCGTGTGTAGATCTCACACCTGCAAAAACAGGTGAGATGGCGGGCACAGACACCTGAGGAGTCTTTCCAGCACCCTCTTATGAGAAGAACCTTCCTTAGAGACATACTCAAGTTGGGACGGAGCAGCAAAGCAGGACTAGGGCCTCACAGAACACAGCTGGTGTCAGAAAAACACATCAAGAATTGTACCTGCATGGGGCCTTGACCCCCAGAGCTGGGCTCTCTGAAGCCTGAGTCATGCTAGCAATTTTCCTGCTATCCGAAAAGCTATGTTTAACATTCCTATTATGCCAGGCCCATCATTTTGATTGTTGACTTGGCTATTGTCAAAAATCAAACACCTCTTTTACAAAATGATGTAAAACAAACTATTGTATTACATAACAAAAAAAAAAAATCAAACACTCTCTTAAAATCCCTGACTGAAGAGGTCAGATGAGCCTTGTACAAATAAGGCAGCCTCCCTAGTGCCCCATGGGGTCCACACCATTACGCTCGTCTGGCCTGGCATGATGCAGCTACACCTTGTAGATGAGCAGTTTCTGAGAAAGGAAAATTCCTTTGGACCATGGAGACCAGTGTTTGTCAATACAAGTTCCAGAGGCCCACTCAGACCTGCTGGGGCACATTGCAGCACCAGCACCCGAGTGTGCAAGCCAGGTGCACATGAACTTGCCTTTAAAAAGCTGAGATAGTAACCCTCATTGCCCTAGCACAGAAGAGGGCTTCCAGCCACCAACACCTGAGTTACATAGAGAGGGAACTTAGGTCCAGAGAGGGCAGAAGTTTGCCCCAGACTCACACACCAGGAAATAGGAAAGATGTTTGAAACCTGCACAGCATCCTTGCTCCATTTTGTCACTTTACCTCCTTTCCCAGATGTCAGTATGAAAGCATACCGGAAGCTTCTCTATAGTCAAGTAACAGGAATTTGCATGCTACATGCCTATCTGCCCTTGACTTTGGGGAGTATAGCTGTGAGGCAGGGAGGGGATGGGTTGGTCTTATTAAGACTCATTTGGCATTTCTGATGTGTTGTCTGGGGCTTCGTGCCCCAGGAAAAATTTAAAATGTGTTCTGGGATATGATACCAGCTTCCTAACCGCCTCCCACCATGAACTGAAAAACATATGGCAGTTATTACTTGATGATAAGATCAGTCACCAGCAACCGTGTAACACTCAGGCCATGTGAACCATGTGGCACAAGCGTCACACTTAATCTTCACAGGTTCCCACGGGTTCAGTGCAAGTCTCCCCATTTTTGTAGCAAGGAAACAGAGGCCCAGGGAGGTTAAGGGCCTTGCCCACAGTCACAGAGCTGGGAAGTGAGAGAGCCAGATGGAACCCTGTATCTTTAAAGCCTAATCCCTCAGCTGCTGAGCCCTGCTGAGGGGGAAGTAGACATTCCCTGACCTTGGCCTTTGAGAGTTTACAGCCTTCTCTTTTAAAATGCAAAGACTGAACAGCACAGGCCAAGTGGACCGCCCACTCACCGTGACCACAGTCCCAGCAGAGCCCCAGGGGCCCAGGGGCGTGGGTGACTGTCCTGGGCAGTGTCTGAGCAGGGTTTGTCTTATCTGGTGTGACAGATAAAATGTAACTCAGGGACTCGATGTCCCCTCTCCCTAGCGTGCAAGCCCAGAACAAAGCCCCAGGAAGCACTATGAGAAAAGACAGAGTTGGCAGGTCAGGCCAGGGTACTAGAGAGACCCAGTCAGGTGGGATACAGAGACATGGGATGTTGGGGTCTCACCTTGAAGACTTCTGGACACGGGACAGAGCTTGAGTCTGCATTCATGAGTGCAGGACTAACATGGAGAAGGCCATGCTGATGGGGTCTGACAAGCCCCAGGTAGAGTGAGCCAGGCCCAGGAGGGCAAGTTGCAGAATAGTTGATTCCCTTGGAGGAAATGAGCTCACTATCCCTGGAGGTGGCCAGGCAGAGGAGAAGCTACGAGGTAGGACTACTGAGAAGGGGAATCAGTGAAGTTTATTTAGGGCACCTCTTTTTTTTTAAAAGATTTATTTACGTATGCATACAGAATTGGGGTACAGTCCAGAGGTGCAGGGGCTGTGAGAGAATTCATCAGAAGCAGAGTGGGGAGCAGAATTAGGGCACTTCTAAGTCCGGTGCCTGATTGCTCTTGTGGCCTCTTCCCAGCCACCAAGATTCTTGATCACACCCTACGTTTTTCTTTACCCTAAAGGCCTGTAGGTAAGGCAGGCAGGTGGACTGGGCTCTGAGCATGCCTGGCAATGAGGGTGAGGGTGGAAGCTGCACAAAAAACAGAATAGATCAGAGAGAGAGATTCACTCACTTGTGGTCTCTGGCCAAGCTGTTCTGAAGTGTTCAGCCTCTCAAACCTGCCTGTTGGTCTTGTCCTGAGTTAACACCTGCTGCTAAGAAGAAATCCCTGGTAGTGAAACAATGTGTCATTCCTCATCCTTTGATCAGCACAGCCAGCCCCATGATGGGGCTATGTGAAAGGACTGGGCTAGGTTAGTACGGGACCCCAAAGGAACTTCTTTACAATCAGGTAGCTGGGCTCTTCGGTTTCTGAGCACAGGAAGGAGCTGGGCACATTCTGCAGGGCCATTTTTCTTTACAAACAAAGGAGACCTCTGTGCTCTCATATCTGCAATTTCCGGTCCCAGACGATAGCTTGAAGTTCTTGGTGACAGTTCTTGGGCTCCATGGCTCTAAAATTATCTCTGGCTAATTCAGCCACCAGTCCTCAGAGTCTGTCATTGTCGGGGAGGAGGAAGCTACAGTGTTTCCTGCTAGGCCTGTGTCTCTCCTGCATTGGGAAAGAGCATAATGAGAGCTTAGATTGTCAGTTCCCTCTTTGGGCCTCTGAAAATCTCCACATCATCAACTAAAAATCAGAGATTGTCCTGAGTCGGAGCTGTCAAATTCAGGTGTCAGGGACTAAGGTCTCTGACCTACTGACTCACATTGATTTGGGTCCTTCCAGAGTCCACGGTCAACTTCACTGTTCCTTCCACTGTGAAGCTGGAAAATGGAAGTTCGACCAACATCAGTATTGCCCTCCAGTAAGTACCGGGGCCCAGCTCTGTTCTCTCTCCACTCATATTTCAAGTAACGCTCTTTCCTCTCCATTTTAAGGCAAGGCACAGGCACAGAGGTACTATTCCTGAGTTGTAGACCCAGCCCCAAAGACCCAGGCCTCTCAGCACCCAGTGAATCCTTGTTTTCCTGGGGGTGGGGGAGGTTGCTCCTGAGAGACTTAAACCTTTTCACAGGAAAAAAAAAAAATTAGAGAAGCACCTTGAAGGTCAGGGGGCAAGATGCTAAGCTGAGATCATGATCATTTCTGAGATCATGTCCAAAAGCAAAAGTTGACTGCTTCAGTGGTCCCTTCCCAAGGTAGTCACGCTTTACCTCATCTGAGTGTCTCTTGTTGACGCTGCCAGTTCAAGCATGAGGGTTCTGACTGAGATCAAACAGTTCCAAGGACTCTGCCTGTTCTGTGACCATAGCTGCTCCTTCTAGTCCCGCCTCCCAGCCATGAAGATTGCCAAGATGGAGGTCTGGACCCCTGTCTTTTTCTCTTTACCTTCTTTCCTTTTTTCTCCTCTCTCCTGAGCAGTCAGATCTCAAACCTCACCAAGATTTCCAAGCAGACCTGCATTCCATTCCCAACTCCAGCCATCACATCTTGCACATTAACACCTTGGAAATCTGACACATCACCTCCTCCCTACAATTGTCTCCTCTCCAGAATCCTGGAGTGACTTTCCGCTGCCTTTCAAATTAACCCCAGACCTTGAAAGCCAGACTTGAGGCCCCCATGAGCTGTGCCCAGTCAAACACCCCCTGGCTTTCAGGGGCCACACTTCCACCCAGCAGATGGCAAGGCCCTGCCGCCCTCTGACCAGTCTTCCACCTTCTTGTGTTCCTACCCCATCCCTCATGGCAAATATGGTAAAGACAGAAAACCCTTTAAGGAGTAGGGACCCAACTTTTCTACCCAATCTCAGGGCCAAGCATATAACACTTAACATCAGTGGCTTGAGAAATGATAGGTTCCTCCCAGAAGTGCAGAGGCCAACAGAGATCTCATTGTCCAGCCAATAATCAGACTCTTCTCTCCACAGGCATCCATTAAACGAAACCTTGGTGATCACTTTTGAAATCACATTTCGTTCAAAAAATGTTACTATCCTTGAGCTCCCTGATGAAGTGAGTGATGAATCTTACCTGATGGGTAGAGAACTGCTGGGTAATACATTTTAGTTAAGTGCTTATGGAAATAGGCCACTGTTTTTATATCATGACTGCCCTGGCCTCATCATTCTAGAAATCTCTGATTTTGGGTCTGTTGGGCTCTGTGAGGATGGGCATTTTATGCCATGTGAATGAAGTTAAGGTGATGTTATCATCTGAGCAAGAATGGTTCTCGGAATGGAAACGAAATCCTTAAGCTAGTTTTCTAAGATCTGCTCCTCAGAGGGCTGTCCAGGGACCTGTTGCTTTGTCCCTGCTTGGAAGCCTTCTAGAAATACAGGGTCCTGGGTCCCAGCCCAGAACAACAGAATCAAAGACTACTTGTGAGCAAAATCCCCATGTGATTTGAGTGCGCATTAAAGTGTTTGAAGAAACACTCTCTGAGATTCCACTGTGAAGTGTTGTGTCCAAACTCCGGTGCCGGCGGCTGTCTGATACAACAGCCATAGCTATTGATCTCTGCCTGTATTTGTTAATCTATACTCTGCAGCCCACTTTCTCAAAAAATTGAGCCAATTATTGGATTTAATCATCTAATTAAATAAAGCAGAGTGTGAAGTTGGGTTTTAAAGCAAAACTAGACAACCTGAATGCGCACCTGGGAGTGGGGCGTCTCAGTGGGCCCTGCAAGCAGACAGGGTCCAAGCTTAAGCAGGTAGCGTGTCAGCTTACACAGACCCTGTGGGAGAGGAGAGCCTCATCAGGTGCCACAGCTCCTGAGAGGGGCCACCACGCCTCACAACTTCCCCTCCCCCCTCTCCCCGGGCCAGAGGGCTGCTGCAGGGTAAGAAAAGCCATTGGTTCTCACTGCAGGTTCTGGCACTTAATGTTGTAGTAGGGTCTGGCTTGATCCACAGATCAAACCTAGACTGAGGAGTGGATGCCAACCATTTTGTTCGGGGCCAGACATCTAAGTAAAAGTATCACCATTTTAAAATAAGTTGAAGTTGAATGTAGTGTTAAGCCAAGGAAAAGTCTGGTCTGTCCAACTCTTAGTATATAAACCGCAGGCACAGATGGCAAATCCATGGTGTTGGACAGAATGCGGTTTCCCTCAGGGGTCCGCTGTGGTACGGGACAGAGCTTCTGGGCTGCGGGACAGGCTCCATTTCTTGACTTGGGTGCTGAATATACTGTTCTGAACATAGGTTCCAGCTCATTTTCTTTCTTTCTTTTTTTTTTTTTTTAATGTAATGATGGGAGCCAGATCAGGACAACTTAACAAAGGCACAAACCCACTTTTCCAGGCTGGGTCCCTCTCCTCCCTCCCCATCCAGTTTTAACGACTCCCACCTACCACCTGTGCCTTTGGAAACCCCCTGATAAAACTTGGGTTCCAGGCATCTGGGAGCCTGAGCTGTGGGTTTATGTGAGGTACTTCACCCCCAGCTTTGCAGCTTCCTCATTTCCAGACCGAGGTTAAGACATTTACTTGATGTGGTTATGAGGATTGAGGCAGTAGCAAGTGTAAAATGCCTAAAGTGATCTGTAAGACAGTGGTGTTTTTGCTGTGGACCTAAAAGCGGTCTACAAAGTCAAGTTAAAAAAATGGATAGTTATGATTTCATTCTGCCTTGTATTAAGATGCGTGATTTCTGATTGGTCCGTTTTCTTCCTACCTAGTTTCAGGAGTGACTGAATCACCACTTACAAATATGTAAATGGCATGTCCCGAAAGATCTGTCAAAAATCAGAAAAAATGAGCCTACAGTATTATTACATGTAAGATGTAGACTGCAAATTGGACCCTGGGCTTCATGGCAGCCACTAACCATTTCAGTTGTTCTGCCAGAGCCCCAGGTTTCTGGTGCTAACAGCAGAAAGCTTCAGGGCCCTCATAAATAAGCCACCGAACCCGGGGAGCCCCAATCCTCAGTGTCTGTGACAGGTGGCTGTGGGGGTAAGGACAGCACCCTCCAGGGAATGAGGGGGAACAGCAGGGACAGTGTGGTTCAGTAAGGGGAACATCACTCCCTGCCACCCAGGGGATTCGAGAGCATCCTGAGGACGCGTTAAGAGTTCTGGTGCCGCAGGTAGGCTCCATATACTTACTGTTTCTTGGAGCAAAGCTTTAGCTAAATATTGGGTAGAAATGCAGGGAGGGTGTTCTCCCTGCCAGGCGTCTGGTGTGTATCTCTTCTTGATACGTGGCTTGGCCATGTGGCTGCCCGTCCCACCGAGGGAAGCAGAGGTCATGGCTTGCAATAGCAAGCCCTTTGCAGCTCTTCGTATGTCAGGCTCAGAACCATAAGCTTTATGCACAGTATGTCATTTGTTTTTGTTTTTGTTTTGTTTTTAAAGATTTATTTATTTATTCATACAGACTGGGGTACAGGCCAGAGTTGCAGGGGCAGTGAGAGGATTCGCCAGAGACAGAGTGGGGGGCAGAACAGGCAGATCAACGAAGTACACTGCTGAGGGGAGCAGCGGGCAGGTCAGGAGAGGTCTGCCGCGCCATGTGGTCACCTCCAGGGCAGTCAGGGATCTAACTCAATGCGGAAGTGGCTTTCGATTCTTAGTGCTGCACTTTAACCCGCTGCACCACCAGGGAGGGCCAATACAGTATGTCATTTGTAGCAGCCCTGTAGACACTTGGGTCATCCCCTCTTCCAGCTGAGAGACTGAGATCAGAGGTCCCTGGGCAGAGACTGAATCACTGCCCAAGATGGCCCGTGGGAGGAAGAGAGCCATCCCACCTGCCACAGAGGTAGGCTGGGGAGGGCCTGAGGGCTGGGTCATTGTCAGCCGTTTGTCACCTTCCCTCCTGCCTGTGAGTAAGTTCCTGTGAGGCCGGGATCATGAGCGATCTGTCCTTCCGTTTCCCAGTAAAGCCAGCAGCTGGATGCGCCATGAGGTCCCAGGACACTGTATCCAACTCAGTTTCCCTAACAGGTCGTGGTGCCTCCTGGAATGACAGATTCCTCTTTTCAAGTGACATCTCAAAATGTTGGACAAGTTACTGTTTACCTGCATGGAAATCATTCCAATCAGACCAGGTAGGCTGGCCGGAGCCCAAGTGGGCCTTAAATGTCAAGAAGGGAGGCAGTTGTGAGCTTGTGGGGGTTTCCTCTAGAAAGCCAGCCTCAGCTCACCCCACTCTTCAAATTCCTTCCAGCTCTAGGATAATCTTCTTGGTGGTCCATAGTAACATCGTTAGCATCATAAACCAGGTGATTGGCTGGATCTACTTTGTGGCCTGGTCTGTGTCCTTCTACCCTCAGGTGATCAAGAACTGGAGGCGTAAAAGGTAACCCCATGAGCGCCGTGTGCAGACTCACACAGGCCATGAGGCAGCATTCCAGCAAGGCTCGAGGGCCGTGGGCTCAGACTCCCGCCTCTGCTCTTCTGTCCTGAACTTTTTTAGAAAATGGTCTCATGTGAAAACTCTTAAGAGCCCTGGTCTGCTGGCTATTTGGTCTTTCTTTCTTTTTGAAATTGTTCTTATTAACACATTTTAAAGATTTTATTTATGCATATAAGAACTGGTGTATAGGTGGGGGTGAGAGGCTTCACCAGACACAGAGTGGGGAACAGAACAGGCCGATGGAATGGAACACAATGCTGAGGGGAGCAGCGGGTGAGACAGGAGAGGTCTGCTGCGCCATGTGGGTCAGCAACCTGGCCAGGCAGTTAGAACGCTGAAACTTCAGCCATAGGCCACCAGGAAAGCCCCCTATTTGGTCTCTTGCCCCCTTCAGCCCCTCCCTGTGAAAGCAACAAAACAGGGCTCTCAGTAAAGTGGAAGAAGGGCTGGGGGGCCGGAATCCACTGTTAACTGGTCAGCCAGCTCCTCCTGTCAGTTAGCCAGCCTCTGGAATCCAGCCCCCAGGGGGTTAGTGTCCAGCCGTGCCGCACTGCCAGAGTTAGACCCTGCGGCCATGGATACTCAGCTGTCCCTCCCTGACTGCAGAC